TGCAATACCGTAGTTCTCATTGTTGTATGATGTTAGTCTGTGTACTGTCAGCCGTGTGAATTACGACCCTGGATCATGCACGAGAAAAGACTTAAAAGTACATGTGTCGTTATTGGCGAGCTGTCGTTATTCGTGATGGTGAAAGCATGCTCTCTAATGGTCACTATAATTGTAGGTCTGAAGCTTGTGTCGTTATTCACGAGTTGTTGTTAACCCCGGGGTTGTTTTTCATGAGGTGGACTGTGTTTCTGGTTTCACTGTGTGGCTCGCGCCACTTTGCACTCTCCAAGGTGCCAATTTGTCACTGCTCTGTCCATCTAAAAGTTAGATATATGGACTAACGTCTGGCTTGTTTATCAACTCATATCACCATTGTACCAGTTAGGAAGAGTAGTGGTTCGAGAACCCTTTCGGATTTCATTCATTCATATTTTATTTGAAGGATTCTCCAAAAGAAAAATGTATGCTTATATTTCCCAGTAGCTTCTCTGCTATGTGTGATCAAGTGGAAGGCATTCTAGGCATATCCCCTGCTGATGGGCGAATTGCACGATTGACTGGCTGTCAGGATGAGGAAGATTGTCTGGTACACAATCATCATTATTCAGGATGGACAGTTGCAATCTTCTTCTTTTTTTTCTCCTCTGTTCATTTTGCGACCACACAACATGCACATCTGTGTGTCTTACAGTACTGTCGGCCGCCGAAGAACGGAACGCCGAAGAACGACTAGCCTAGAATTTCACTAAGCGCAGCATACCAATGTATACACGGTGACTCAACAGTGCATAGAGTGCAATACATGAAGATAAGACCGGTCTAGGCTAGGAGGCTGCCCCCCCCCCCCCCCCCAGTTCTCCGGCGACCGACAGACTGTACCTTCTGTCTTTGTGTTTTTTTCTATGTGCATGCCTATCACTGATTCTATGTGAGTGTGCATGCATCTGTGTGTGTACGTGTGTAATTTGTACTGTGTATGTGTGTGTGTGTGCGCGCGCGCACGTGTGTGTGTGGGTGGGGGGGGGGGGGGGGTGGTTGTGTCCACAGCCGTATCCCAAGATGCCATAAACAGTTAGGAGAGTTGATATCCTCTTTCTCTTGCCCTGTGATTTTCTGATTTCTCACTGGATACACAGAAAACATCATCTATGACGACCCCGTACTGTGCCGAGATGACATCTGCTTTTTATCTCGCCCTGAGGAATACAAGCGCGGTCTTCAGCGTTCCAAGCGTGCCGTGGAGCTGCACCGGGAACTCGGACTCGAGAGGGGCACGTTTGAATCTCTTATATTCTGGCAGTAAGTTGCGATTTCCTGAATTGAAAACTTAATTTTCGTCTTATGGGTGCGATGCGCTATATTCTCTTTTGTCACATCAACTTGATGAGTAGTGGTTCTGCAAGTGCCCTGTGCCATCAGCAGCAGCCTCTTTTGAAGCGTTCAACTTAAAAGACCTTCCTGTGCTATAGTGGTACAGTCAGACCTCGCTTATCCGGTCCTCGTTTATCCGGATCCCTCGCCATCCGGAAGAAAAAAGCTGGTTACATATTTACAGCATACGTGATGCATCCAACATAAACGGTGTTCGGTTATCCGGTTCCCTCGCCTATCCGGATATTTTTTTGGAAAACGGATGTGTGCGGTTAAGCGAGGTCTGACTGTAATCATTTTCCTCTTTCAGCCCCGGTGTGCTTGGGTGGGTGTCGGCACTCATGCGGGGAACACTGTCCACTGGCTCGGTGTAGATAGGGTATACACTGCGAGTGTGCACCATCGCGCACAGAGATGTCCCATCATACAGTGTGGCCACTCTACAGCCGTCCAGACCATCCGGTGCTTGAACACTCATGATTGGAGAGGAATAGTTTATTTATATTAATATTTATAGACAAACCCTCCTCGGGCTCAAGGGAACAAACGTTCAACAAAGTGCTCCTTTTGGCAGCGTTCTCATTGCTATTTCCCACCGCCTAATAATCTGGATGTGTTTCTGTGTGCTTGCACAGCGCCGTGGACGATGAATCCCTGCCCATTGGCCTTCACTTGTCAATGTTCAGCCATGTAATCAGGGTAAGGCCATCAGTTACCACATGCACTTGCGCTTTGCTCATTCAACTCTGATCGGTGCTGCTGATTTGTACAATATTACATTGTTACTGTGCTCGTCCATGATGGCAACTTTCCGAGCCGGGAAGGCATTTGCCCGCTGAATGGAAGAAGTTCGGGTGTTTTGCTTGTGCAAAGGTGTTTGTGTGAAATTGTGTCAACTAGCTATCCTGTGCTCAGAGGATGGAGAAGTTGTTTTTCAAACCTACACCGGTGAATGTATACAGGATGCTGGTGTCCCATGCAGTCAAGTGACTTGGGCTCTGGCAACTGGCAATTTTCACTGTGACCCAGTGACAATAGCATACGCTCATTCAATTTTACCCATGACATTGTGTCTGTATTTTACCCAATTTTCCCAAATTTTACCTGTGTGTCTTTTCATATATTTACTCAGTATCAGAGTTTCTTCAATCTTATTTCGATTTGAAGTCAGATGGTGAACCAATAATTATAATTTTTGTCGCACTCGCGGACTGTATAAGATCTGGTTACGTTGGTGGACAGTTAGTCATAACTCGTAACATTTTGTCCTTCTCCTTTTTTATTTCGATTTGTTCGTGAATATCCATATCTGGTCCCATTGTCGCATGTGACTGCAGAGTCAGGCCACTGAGGAGCAGATGGCCAAGTGGTTGCCCCTAGTCAAGAACTTCTCCATCATTGGCTGCTACGCTCAGACGGAACTCGGGCACGGTGAGTCTGCCAGATTTTACTCTCGTCATGTAATGCCACAGAAAAAGGCATGCATGAAAAGGTCTGCTTGAGTCAGCTTCAGGCTCTGAAATGCATTTCTCTGAAACAAAACTGCTGCTACTGTTAGGTGTTAGGCGTGCAAAATGACTCGTATCACAAGCACTTGCTCTTGCTAAGTATCTTTAAAAGAAGCGGAGCTCTCTAATGTCCGTTGTTTCTCCTTTGCCTGACGGTGCCGTGCTGTAGGTTCATTTGTACGAGGACTAGAAACGCGAGTAGAGTACGACCGGAGTCGCCAGGAGTTCATCCTGGACACGCCGACTGTGACGTCAATGAAGTGGTGGCCAGGAGGGTGTAAGTGGATGTAGTAGGCGCGTACATGCTTACTTGTATGTGTGTGTGTGTGTGTGTGTGTGTGTGTGTGTGTGTGTGTACGTGTGTGTGTGTGTGTGTGTGTGTGTATCTGTTATAACGTGCACACCATCACCGCCATAGCAAGTTACTAAGGTTGAGGGTATTGAGACACTGTCAGTCCAGGCTAGGGGTTTCCCTCCTTCTGCTCTCTCTTGTGTGGTACTGGTGGTAGATTCATGTACGATGTTGCACGTAATTGTCAAGCCTAACGTAACTCACTCGCTCTTTGTTTACTGACCTGTGTACTGATACTTGTACTTCTATGTGCTGATGCAGTGGGAAAAACAGCTACCCACGCGCTCGTAGTTGGACGCCTGTTCATCGACGGCAAGGAGCTCGGTGTGCACATGTTTCTGGTGCCGCTGCGTGACTTGACCACTCACGTTCCCCTACCCGGTAAGTACCCTATCTTGACCACTCACGTTCCCCTACCCGGTAAGTACCCTATTTTGACCACTCACGTTCCCCTACCCGGTAAGTACCCTATCTTGACCACTCACGTTCCCCTACCCGGTAAGTACCCTATCTTCCAGGGTACAAGCCGCACTGGAGTAAAAGCCACGCGCCCCGTTTTTTGCCACAAGATACAGACATCTACCTTATTTATCACCATTATTTTGATCATCGGAGTATACTAGTAAGCCGTACCCCCCCCCCCCCTTTGGGGGTGAATTTCGAGCGTTCAAAGAGAGTCTTACACTCCGGAAAATACGGTAGCTGTTCTCTCTCTCTCTCTCTCTCTCTCTCTCTCTCTCTCTCTCTCTCTCTCTCTCTCTCTCTCTCTCTCTCTCTCTCTCTTGTGACCCTTGGCATGCTTCTGGTGTGTTGAACTCGCACGGAGCTGCTGTCGGTCTAGGTAGTTCATACAGTGCGTAGTCACCCGGGCAGTATATCAGTGTACAAGTCTACGGTGCTGCTCGATGAAATCTGATTGCATGAGTGAAGTTTGCGTCCTGTAGCATTTCGCAGCCCAGTGTTCACAGGTCTAGGGCCGCGCCAAGCCCGGTGCGTGCTTGACTCACTTGATTGGATTTCATTGCGCAACACTGTGCTTCCACTGAGCTGATGGTGATGGTGATGCAGCATTGTTGTCCTCTAAAGAGTGTTTCTGTATCGTATGTGTGATGTTGCTCTTGTCACTTTTCAGGCATTTCGGTTGGTGATATCGGACCCAAGCTGGGATACGAATCACAGGACAACGGTTTCCTGGGTCTCGATAAAGTGCGTGTTCCGCGCGAGAACATGATGATGAAGTATGCAGAGGTGAGGGGGTGATACATAGTGGCCTCTATGGCTGGTATGTGTGTATGTGTCTGTGTCTGTCTGTCTGTATGTCTGTCTGTTGTCTGTCTGTCTGTCTGTCTATGTGCGGGGGGAGGGGAACAACTATGTTACTATTTATTGTGCTTTCCGGGCATGAAGCGTTTGTGTCCGTACTTGCAGGCTGCCGGGTGTTGCTCCATCTCATTTTTTCTTTGTGCATGACCATAATGGGAAGTGTTTTTATAGCTCCTACGGTGAAAGCATTCCTTGTGACTTTTGCTATGCATGCTTATGGGTGAGATGCTGCAGCTAGAACCAGTGCATCTTCGCAGTCTCGTAGTGATGGTGTTTGCTGTGCGGACAGCTAGTTATTCTCTGTAATGTTTTTTGGCCGTCGCATTTTCCTAGGTGACTCCAGACGGCAAGTATGTGCCTCGCACCAAGGAGAGCAAGATGTCCTACGGAACCATGCTGTTCATCCGTGCTCACATGGTCCTTAGTACTGGTATTCAGTTGTCCAAGGCAGCGACCATAGCCACTCGCTACAGTGCCGTGCGCGAGCAAGGGCACATTGATCCAAAGTAAGCATTTCCGATTTCGCTGCTGGAGCCAAAGCACACTTTTAAGGTTGTGTTAGATGTCATGGGAGAAGTGGCAGAAATTTGTTTCACGGTTCGCTTGAGACTAAGTTAAACTGAGTTTTGAGCATCCATAGGAACGCCACCACCCTGCAGAGATCAAAGTGTTAGAACTGGCATATCAAACCACTTGGATGTGGAAGCCTGGAAAGCAGAAGCTGCACGGCCCTATCAGAACATATACATGATTGAGCTGAAATCCGGAACGTGTCCGAGAGGTGTCCTTGACCCCGCTTTCCTTGCGGTTTGCTCTCACTGTACGAATGTCCTGTCATTGCTTGCTTTGTCATTGTTGCTGCTGTTGTCCACAGGCAACCCGAGGTAGCCGTGCTAGACTATGTGTCCCAGCAGCACAGTCTCATGCCCCTGGTTGCTACATCACTGGCCTACTTCATCTGCGGACGCTGGCTAACCAATATCTACTTTGGTCACCAGCCGGAGAATGCTGAAGAACTACAGGAGGTATGTAGTGGAGGGCTGGGAAGTGCAGGGCTGTGTAGTGCAGAGCTATGCATTGTAGGGGTGTGCAGTGCAGAGCTATGCAGTGCAGGGCTATGCATTGTAGGGCCGTGCATTGTGGGACTGTGCTGTGTTAGGCTGTGCAGTGTGGGGCTATGCAGTGCAGGGATATGCATGGTAGGGTCGTGCATTGTGGGTCTGGGGCATGATGGATACTCGTTGATTCACATGCTGTTGAGAAACTTCATAGAACTATGTCCGACATTCTTCTGTACGCCATGATGTTGTTGAGTGTACCTGATCTACTAGTGCCTGAAGTATGTTTGTGTTGCTATTAATGAGATGCTGCTGCTGCCGCTCCTACCACTGTTGCTTCCAATGCCGTTTCTGAAACCCTCACCACTACCACCATTGCTGCTGCTGCTGCTGCTGCTGCTGTTGTTGTTATCTTTGTGCCCGTCAGTTACACGCTATGAGTGCATGCTTGAAAGCAACAAGCACGGCTACAAGTTCACTTGGAGTGGAGGTAAGCGGTAATGCAACATGTCTGTTTGACTGCATGCGAACATATCTTCATCTTATAACGTGATTGACTTCAACTAAGATATGAGTGTGTATCTGTGTGCCCGTGTTTGTGTCTGTTGTGGGGGAGGGGTATAAAGAAATGTCTGGGCGACTATTTTAACCCAAACCTTCGCATGGCTATCTTAGTACCACAGACGAGGAATTTGGAACAGTTTCTGTGCTGTTGCTGCTGCTGCTGTGCGTGTGTGTGTGTGTGTGTGTGTGTGTGTTTGTATATGAATGTGTAGACCTGTCGGCGACGCTGTGGTGGACACGGCTATTCCGTTTTCAGTGGAATACCGTTGATCTATAAATGGGGTACGGCGGGTCAGACATACGAGGGTGAGAACATGGTCATGTGGCTACAGACAGCACGGTAAGAACTAGTTTGCTTTTTGTTCAATATCTGGTGGACACTTCCGCCCTGCTCCCTTTTTTTGCTCTTCCTCTTTCTCCTCCTGTCTGCCCTCTAATGGCGGTGTTGATGAAAGGCACTTTGTACATGAAACTTTTATCTTATCGTTTGCATTTCGCGAGTGTTTGTTCACGTGCATGTGTGTATGTGTGTGTGTGTGTGTTGTGTGTGCGTGCGTGTGTGCGTGTGTGTGTGTGTGTACGTGTGCACGTGTGTACATGTATGTATGTGCATTTGTTGCATGTATGTGCATGTATGTATAATGCACGTGTTGTGTGTGTGTCTACATGCCCATACATATATGTTTGTGTGCGCCTCTGTCCGTGTTCAGGTTCCTGGTGAAGTGCATCAAGCGTGTTCAGTACGGCGAGAAGCTAACCGGCAGCTCACAGTACCTGTCTCGCTGGCTACGGGCCGCGCCGAGCACAGCACCAATCCTGCACAATGCCGAAGCTCTGTCCAATCCAGCGGAGCTCCTGAAGGTCTTTGAATGCGCGGCAGCACGGTAATGGATGTAGTTAGCAAGGGAACTGTGTGCTTGGATTTAACAATGCAAAGTGAATATCACTCTCTGATGATCGCTGAAATGCGTGAAGCATGAAGTTACAGCTGCACAGCCTTTCCCCTCTGCTTTCCGTGCTTGAATTCAATTACTGTATGCATCTAAAGTGCTTTTTCAGCTTTGTTATTAGTATCGGCGACTAGTGTCTCGTCACTCTTGTGTCATCTTCCTGGATGCCACAATTCCTTGCTGATTTTGTGTTCGTCTGATCTGTGTTGTAGGCTTGTGGCTCTGGCGGGTCAGCAGCTGGATACATTCTCACGGCAGGAAGGCCTGAGCAAGGAGCATGCCTGGAACAGAGCATCGCCCTGGCTTGTGCGCGCCTCAAAGGTACGGTTGAGCAGCGGCTCTGCGCCATACCGATGATAATGGCTGCTGTGTTGTTCTAACTCAATAGACGGCGTGCATGGCTGAATCTGTGTCACCATCCCGGAGCATTTTATTTTTACTTGTTTATTTATTTATTTATTGTACTGAAGTGCACAGTCCAGCCGAGAACGGAATGGGAAGACAGAACCAAGCATGTTCAGCTAAGCCTGTAGCTTGTCATGTCCTGCAGTCATACCTTAGTCATGTGACAAGGGTATGGAGCCTCCTTGCTGAGTTGTTGTTTCACATTGACAAGGCGCTCGCATACCCCTTCACCCCATGTTGCTGTTCTCTGCCGCATCTCAGCACCCTCCTTAACTCTAGCAGAATTCCTGTACTAATACTAATGGTGCCGGATTATAATTAATGCCCTATGTCCGAAACCTTCTTGAGAGCTCTGCTGTTCATTGAACTGTTTGTGTACTGCTTCAGGCTCATGCGGAACTTCTCATCTACCAGCACTTTGCCGAGGTTCTGGACGACGAGATGAGCTCGGAGCTGCGTGCAGTCCTTCAGTCGTGCGTGCTTCTGTACGGCCTGCATCGCATCGAAGAGCATTCCATCTTCTTCCTTGAGGTAGGACCTTCCTGGGGGCCATACTCTGCATGTCTTTGGATGTTTGTTATGGGTAAGGGAATGTTTTTTTTCTCTTTCTCCTGCAGTATGTAACCAAACAACAGTACAACAAGAATCCCTTTCCCATCCAGCCAGCACTCCAGTACAGTAGGCCACAACAAAGGATCTAGAGAGCTAGAAGTACAATACGGGTAGAAAAACAGATCCCAAATAAAAGACCAAGCTTGTGGCCTATCTAAGCATGCACAGTGGAAACCAATCCATGGCAACTTAATCAGTGCCTTAAAGTACATGTATGCGCATGCAGATAAACCGATGTTGACGTTCCCATAGTCAGGATTCTACTGCACTTGTGTTAGCCATGCTGCCACTGTCTTGGAGTTCGTTGCAAGCTGGAAACGGCGAACTCCCCACTTAGCGGCAAAAGAAATGCCTTCTGCCGCAGCTTCTAGTTTTTGGTTTTGCTTTTTTTTTAACACTAAGAATACAGCCCTTCTGAGAGGCATGTGGAGACAAACACAAAACAAGACACGGGGGACGTAGGGACGACGTGCCGATGTACAGGGAGCAACTCGACCGACCAGAGGCCTCGGCGCTAGCGTTGCAACCTGGCATCGAAAACGGGGGGGGGGGGGGGGATAGGGGTGGCGACTGCAGGGTCAAGTAGCAGAAATAATAATTTGGTGTGAAAAGAAGAAAAAAGAATAACGCCCAAAAGCACTAATTTTTTTGAAGTTCTCCCAATCCTTTCTAAAATACTAAATACAAAATTGAGAAAAGGAAATCATAAGCCACGTACAAGTAGCGCTTGGATGAGGATCGTGGAGCAAACGGTCTGCAAGTAGGTTGTTCCAGGGAGTGATGGCGAAGAAGGAGAAGGATCGCAGGAGATAGTCAAGGCCTGTGCGAGGGGGGGGGGGGTGTCCACTTTAGCTGGAAGCCGTGATGCATCTGAAGTAGTTGTTGCCATGAGCGCAAGCTGGTTCACTTCCGAAAGTGACTGGTGAAATGCTGGGAGGAATGTGCTTGCGATGTAGAGTCATACACTGCATCTTGGCTGGCTCAAAGCAGATATGCCACTTGCGCCCCACTCCTCAAGGCTGTTGAAGGACCCCTGGAGGGAGGCAGTGGACTGCTGTAGATCGTCAGTGGGTTGTACTAAGCTGCACAGTGTTCTATCGTCTGCAAAGCTGCTCACTTGCGTTCCTGGAGTTAAGCATTGTTCAGTGTCGCGGGTGTATAAGAGGAAGAGGCTGAGTCCTAGGATGCTGCCTTGGGGGACACCAGTCTGGATGGGGTGCGCATCTGAAGTCTGGCCCCCCAACCCAACAACGCGGATACTTCGGTCCGGGTGAGATAGTCGTGTAGCCATACAAGCAGATCTCCATCGACACCGGTCTGCTTCGCTTTGTACAGCACTCTTGTGTGCGATACCTGGTCAAGCGCACCGGCAACATCAACAGCAAGGACCTGGGCACAGCCGCCAGTACTGATGGTGGAGACCCATTCGTGTTGGAGAGCCGTTAGTATGTCCGTGGTTCCTCTACCACGTCGGAATCCAAACTGGGTGTTTGGCAGCGCCTCATGCTTCTCCAGGTAGTTGACCAGTTGGGTGTTGACAATGCCTTCCATGACTTTCGAAATGATGGCTAGGAGTGATATTGGTTGGTAGTTTGGCAATGTTGATGTGTCGCTTGTCCTCTCAGGCTTACGCAGCCACCAAACAACTTTGACGATTTCTCCACTGACCTTCAGCGCCGCACCGGCAGCAGTATTGGATGTGTCACACCATAACTGTTACACGACATTGGCTTTCATCGGTGACCTCCACATCCCACACACCGGTAGCAGGATCATGCTGGCTCAACCGGCAAGCCAGTTTCATACAGTGTTGGACGAGGTTCGCTGGTAAGGGATCATCCCAGCCAAGCTTCTCTAGACAAGTCAAACATTTGAACTAGCTGCAGTGAGGACAAAACCACAATGCGACGGGATAATGGCTCGTCAACTGACCACACCGCTTGTACAAGTCACACTTCGTACTGACATCGGCAGGTGCGATATTGGATTCATCGTGCCGTGACCAACACCCTTAACCATTGGCAGACTCGTTGAGTTGCAAGCCAAGAACATGTGCATTTAATATGGCTTATGACGTGTGTTGATTGCTGTGTTGACTTTGCTGATTTGTTTGCTATCAGACTGGAACTCTCAGCACAACTGACATGCAAGCTGTTCATGACCACGTGGGCAAGCACCTGCAAATCCTGCGGTATGTATAGATGTGTGTCTGATTACTCCCTCCTCGCTCTACCAGCAGAGCGTGTGTGTGTGTGTGTGTGCGTGCGCGCGCGCGTGTGAGTGTGTGCGTGCGTGCGTGCGCACTGGTGTGAGTGTCAGTGTGTGTGTGTGTGTGTGTGTGTGTGTGTGTGTGTGTGTGTGTGTGTGTGTGTATGTGTGTTGTGTGTGTGTTGTGTGTGTGTGTGAGAGAGAGAGTGTGTGTATGTGTGCGCACGCGTGAATGTGTGTGTTCTGCGATATTCCGTATGGGTGTACAGTAGGAGTAGAAAACATTGAAATGAAGAGGAATTTTCTCTGTAGCTTCAGTTGCTTTACCTCCGATGTGTGTTTTCTGTGATCATGCTTCCGTGACAGGCCAAATGCGGTTAGTCTGGTGGATGCGTTCTGCCACCATGACATGAGCTTGCTGTCAGCACTGGGTGCAAACGATGGAGACGTGTATCAGCGTCTGTATGACATGGCGCGGAAAGCGCCGTTGAACAAGACACAGGTCAGTGACACTGCTCTAATGGGGTTGCCATTGTCCGACGTTTTTATTTTATTGGCTCGCCATTCGACTCTTTCCATTCGACTCTTTCAGTTTAGCTCTCACGAAATGTTGAACTGGGAATTGCAAGGAAAGCTTTAGTTTATGACCATATTATGTACATGTAGGTCTGCAGTTCAATGAGGCTTGGTGTTTCGCCATTCTGTGTTTGTGTGTGCACGCTCTGCCGCAGGTTGCCGATGGTATTCACCAGTATCTCAAGCCCGTTATGAAAGCAAAGATCTGAGCTTATCAGAGTTATTTTCCAGTTGAAAATCAAGTTCATCGTCGTGAAGGAGGGTGGAAACTGAACCAGTCTGGTTGATTTCTCTTGCGGAAAGCTTGCTGGCAAGTGCTTTCCCTGCTGTTTTCTGTGTGTTGGTTAGTGCTGTCGGATCTGTGCCCTTAGCTACCACCCTGGGTGTTTGGAGTCATGGGCAGATTCTCTTCTTCTGTTCTGGTTTTCTGCTGCTGCTGCTGCTGCTCTCTCTCTCTCTCTCTCTCTCTCTCTCTCTCTCTCTCTCTCTCTCTCTCTCTCTCTCTCTCTCTCTCTCTCTCTCATCCCCCATCTGCCTTGCTGTATGTGGTACAGTATTTCCATGTACAGAGTAGACTGTCCAATGATGGTGTCTGTAGGGTAGTACGTTTCACCGATCTTTGTCGTCATTTTCTATTTTACGCAGACACATAATGAGAGATATTACACTCCCCAATGCCAGGATGTACCCACACTCTAGCACTGACCTTGTGTGGATGCTCCCAAGTTAGCTGACGATTACCAGCAGATTAGAGTATCAATTGAATGTTGTCCTTGTCCCGACTTTGCTCACAATCCGTGTCCCTGAACTCGTACGAGGGATGCATTGCGTTAGAGGCCACGTCTATCTTTTTATATTTTATTTCTACTTTAAATTAATAGGTGAAGATTCGTAGCTTCATAGGCAATTTCTCCGCATTTTACCAATATTCTTTCTCATCTGGACAGTGTTCTGATGTTCCGTGTTCCCGTGTTCTGTGTGGTTCTGGTCCAGTATACAGCTAGCACAACAGCTGCTGTCCGTGGAACTCAAAGTTGTTTAAAAAGCAATAGGACTAAAAGATGCGGGGATTAAGCTTCCTCCTCTTTCCAATCAACGTTTCGAACTGTTAAAAATGTTATACCCCCCCCCCCCCCCATAACAGGAACGCTAGGCCGGTGTTTTTTGGCCACTGCATCAATTATTAACTATGAGCAAATTTCTCAATATGCGGAGACTCCACTGTAGCCATCCACAATATCCATACAATGTATGGATATAGTGGATGGCTTCAGAGACCGTTTGGAGAGCGGTCTCTGGGCTGCATCAATCGCTGAAAGAAAAAGATACAATTATTCGAATTTTCGGGCAAGGCGGCCCATCTTCAGGAATTGTAGCCCAGACTGTTTAGAGTGTTGTGAAGATGTATGAATATGAGCAATTTTTTTTTTTAAGTTTCTTGCTCAGGTTCAGGTCATGTGTTGCGTTGATGGCTTGCCTGTTCAGTTTTCACCTGTTTACGGCAGCTATAGCTGCTATGCATCATTCATGTCCCAGGACTAGGGTAAAATCTGACAGTATTTACAAGCCCATCCCGGCCTTGTGTAGTCTTGATCTTTGCTTAGGCCAGGTCTTGGGTCTCCTGGTCGATCTATTCTACATTTTGTAGACCATCTGGAAAAGCATGCGATGTAATCATTCTTGATAAAATTAATGGAGTCTGGAAGGCTGGATTATCATGTGACTAGACTCCCCGCGCTGTAAGCCTGTCATCATGGTCATCTGCATGCAGTGACTGTACTCTGTAGTCTGTACTGACATGTAGCTAGGCTTGTGTTGTTAGTTAGTTGTAGCCTATGTAGGCCAAGCTTTGTACTTGTAGCTTACACTAGTTACAGGTCTTCACTTCAGTGCCAGATATCCAGAGCTCTGCTAGCTCGGAAGTACCCCGACACAACTACATTTTGTACATGACTTGAACTACATGTAACTGTGCACGGATCGGTGGACAGACACAGTTGAAAACAACGCGTGCTTATATTTTTATAATCTAGTTGTCGATTCGAAACATCGAGGCGAAGTGTCCACAAATGATAGCAGTCCATCATGCTGAAATCCATATTCCTAGTTACTCTGCTCGCCGTTGCAGCTCATCAATTAGCTGCAGGCAATGGGGACGGCGGGGCTCCGGCAATGTCGAAGCCAGCTTCAGGCAAAGTGACCGGGATCTCTGGTGCTTTCCGGAAACTCGTAAAATTGTTGAGCGATGCAACGCCAACATTGGAGTGCAGCCTGTGCGAACTGGTACTAAAAGAGATTATCGCTGAGGTCGCAAAGAACAGCACGCAGCAGAAGTTGATCCATGGCATGGAGGACGTTTGCCAGAAGCTGCCTGACGTTGACGATTGTGTAGATTTCTTCAAGCAGTATGGCTCGCAGCTGATCGACACCGTGTTGCTTCTACTCCCTCCCAAAGCGGTGTGCACGTTCGCGAGCGCCTGCCCCAACTCTACAATAACGTTGCCACTGGCACCAGCAAGTGCGGAGCAAGGGAGCCGCGAACAGGCAGCTGCTCCGCTAAATCCGAGGCTCTAGGTTAGGTGAGACGAGTCGGAGAGCACCCGGGACTGATGTTGATATGATACTGGAGCACGCCTTGCTCTGGTGTATGGTGTGGTATGGTATGGCGGAGCCGCCAAGTGAAAAGAGAAACACATCACCATGGCATAATAGTTAGGTAAGACGTGATTCCGTCACTGAATGAATGAACATTGCTTTTACGCCCATGTAGGGTGCACCCCTTTGCCCTATATTATCGCGCCAATCCTATTAGGCTAGCATTCTGTGTTTCAAAGTCGATAATTTTTAGTCATTTCTCCATGTTGGAAACTTGTGTGTGATGCTAAATTCTGGGTTATCCGAGCCCATCCTTGATTATTCCAATTTGAACAGAGTACTATTGATTACTAGCGATAGATCTTCTATTCTCTTACATGGAGTCCTGATTTTTTTCTACAAACTGTGGTAGCCCATGGGCTCCAAACTGGTTAGAATTGATAGGCCATTGCCCTTTGAAAAGGGTGGTGAGTAGGGTCCAGCGGATAATGCCGGCATTATATTCGGCATTATAAGACTATCCGAGCATCAGAGCATTATGGAGCATTAGAAAGGAACAAAACGAGCATTATGTGAGGTTTGAGCGGCATATTGACGAGTTTCATAGTGGATAATATCGGGAAAACCCAGGTTTTCGTAACAATCGGCTACAGTCATGGTCATGAGGTGCAACCATATGCATTGTACCGACACATAACTAACTTTGTGATTGTGTAGACACGTAACGCCTTTAAACACTAATGCTACATAATAATTATTATACAATGTACAATTACCTGACCACATTGCTACATAAAGACGTTATGATTGTAGCAATGTGGTCAGGTAAATGTATACAAGCCATGCATGTAGCATGCCCAACCGAGGCAGTTACACAAATCCAGAGAAACGGTTTACGAGGCCGGTTTTTTTAGAATAATGGAGAGCTATGGAGGAGACGTATGCGAAGTGAATATCAAACAGACGAAGAGGAGTTTTCTCGTTGTGCCATAGGCTCTGGCGATAGCGTCTCAAAGGATACTAAAGTAGACACTGATGCATTGATAAATTTGGACCAGGATGAAGGAGCGGCTATAAACAGAAAGAGCTCGTTCCAAAAGAACTGCCTTTGTCGGGTACAGCTGAGGAGGCTCGAAAACTAGAATTTCTCATGGACTCAGTACTAAGTCGATTTGTGCGCTCAGCAGCGCATGTCTTACTTTCCTGGTGAAGCACGTACAGTTAGTTGGGGACGGTTGTAATGCCAGGCCTACAGTCAAATGCTATCAGAAAAGAAAAGTATTGTGGCCAACCATCTGTCTACACACCATCTCAAGGAGAAGAAGACAGCATAAGCAAAGATGTAGAGCGGCAAAATAACTTCTGACCAGGTGTTTTCAGGATTTCCGTAAATGGGAGGGATCTCGATCTGAGATCGACTCTCAGGAGCTGGCCTCACCAGCGTCTGGTGTTTCAGATGAAGACACATACACAGAGTGGAAGCAGTGAAAGCTTGTCTGCAGGCAGGAATACTAATTCGGCCAAGGTAAAATTCATCCCAACAATGAATAATTACCCGCAATAATGTTTTCAACTCTCCCTACATGGATAATCAGGGGAAATATTAAATACACCGGCTATTCTGCCACAACCCGGCATCAAAGTTGGAATGGAGAGCAGCCAATGGAGAAGCAACCATGTCTTATAGTGCTAAGAACTGGTGGAGCTTGTGAGAGATAAGGTGGCAGCTTCAGTGGCAGATCGACGATATGCATAATTTCCTAGACTGAGTTGACAATTCATTGCATTCCCAACTCATCACAACCACGCGCTCTTCAGCCGAACCATACAGACACCAGCAAGGACACTTCCGTTGAGAGATAATATTGCTCCACGCCTCTAGACAGCTGTTTCGCTCCCTGTCGGAGCTCATCAGTAGAGGATGATAATAATGGAGAGATGATCAGTCTTATACACAAGAAATGGCGACAATGTGCAGAGTTTTTTCCATTTTTGTCCCAAACCAAGAGCATTATAGCCCTTGCTGAAGCATTATAATCAGCATTATGAGGTAGTTTTGGAGCATTATGGTTAGCATTATACGGACATTTTCGGAGCATTATCCGCTGGACCCTAGTTGTGTATATGGCTTTTACAGTATGTGATGTTTTTTTTTTAACTTCAGTAACTCAACAGCACTGAGTACCACTAAAGGAGAACCAAATAGGAAACAAACGAAAGCCCTAGTCTGGACTCAGGGGCTGGTCACTGACAGCGCCTGCAAAGTGTCACGAGTACTGAAGTACGTGTATTTGATGAGAAGAATCTTTGATAGCGACCGAAATTTGCAAACTTTCCGACAATGTTATTTAAGATTTTTAGACAGAGCGAACTATTTCTAATCAAACTCTTTCATTGCACGCCATATTAAATAAGTATTATGACAATGCAGTAGATAGAAAAATAACTTTGGCAGTGAAATATCTACATTCTTAAAGGGGAACTGTCACCAAAAAATTTCTTTGTCTTATCTTGTAGTTCTTTGGCTCCTGATCACGATGGTGTTATCCGTTTTTCTCTGCGATGGCTGGAAGTGGGTGAAAACTTGAAAAGAAGGTGCCCAAAATTGTCCCGAAGTACCGAGTGACGTCACGCCGGACTTGACCTCCACGCGTACATTCGTCGTCAAAAACGAAATCCAGCCCGTGTGCTCGTCGATCGAGCTAGCTGTTCCAATGTACGGTGCACATGTGCCTTTTGAACTGTAACACAGATGGGTACGTCGTACCGAAGGAGAATGCCAAAGAGGCAGAGACCCACGTGCAGCTACACAGCCAAATCAAAATAAAAAGCAGCTGAGCTTTCACCTTTTTGACTTCTTCCGCGAGGATCTAAGTTTTATTTTGTGAGCACGGAAGTACGTCGTTGTTTTGAACTTTTCGTGTGAGGAACAACACGATGATGAGTGTGTATGCAGAAAACAGTATTATTATTATTATTATTATCAAATTTTTGATAGGGCAATCCCCACAGGCCTAAGGCCTTCTTACAGGGTACCCTACTCCTCCGGCCGGCGATAACACCACCAACCCGAGCCCCAAAGGAACGCAATGTAGTTACGTGAAGGCGATTCATCTGGCGATGTTGCTCAAGATACAGATGACGAACTCCGACGTCTTTCATTTCAGAGCCGGGTGGGCAACATCGCCACCTTCGATACAACGACATCATTTTCAAGTACGAGGTATGTGTGTCACACTAACAGCAAACAAACATCCTTCCACTCCTTCGTAATCACAAATAAAACAAAGAGCTGGAGCTTCGTGGAGGAAGTACCAGTGCGACAAGCTGCAGTCGACTTTTGTTTATTTTGTCCCTTTTTGGCGTTCTCATTGTGTACAAAGTACACATGGAGTGTCCGAGTTCAGAAGGCAAGCGTGCACCGTACATCGAACAGTTGGCTCGATCGACGAGCACACGTGCTGGACTTCGTTTTTGACGATGAAAGTACGCGTGGAGGTCAAGTCCGGCGTGACGTCACTCGGTACTTCGGGACAATTTTGGGCACCTTCTTTTCAAGTTTTCACCCACTTCCAGTCATCGCAGAGAAAAACGAATAACACCATCGTGATCAGGAGCCAAAGAACTACAAGATAAGACAAAGAATTTTTTTGGTGACAGTTCCCCTTTAAAAGGGTAATTCCATAGTTTCACTGAGCAGTGATCCGCAGAGTTCTGCAGTTTCTGGGTTGCTTCAAGATAATACGGAAAATAAAATATACTAGACTCGGATGGAGAGCCAATGATTAATTTATAGTAAAAAAACAACAAGAGGACAAGGGAACTACAAGTTACGCTATAATGTCCACTAACATCACCAGTTACTTGACAATCTGCTTATGCGATAAAAAATTTAAAAACTGACCGACAGTACTGACGTTCTACAACTAACTGGCTATCAGCTCTAGCACGTCTTGGGTGCACACTCCAACAGCCTTCCAGCTTGGAAGGTTCTAAGTTGTATAAAATAAATATATGGGCAAACTTTGAGTCTTTCAGTCAGCTTTATGCAGTCAGATCATTTACATGTAGGTTAACTTAAGGCTTCTATAAGCACGAACAACTGGACAGAAAATTGAGGACTCGACTGCGCCGACTACCGGATTGATTAGCTTGATCAGAACTAGCAATGGTTCCGTTCTGAGCAGCAACAGAAGCATCCGCGGCTTGTGCTGCGGTCTCACCCAGATGCTGCTCGATTTCCTGCACGACTTCTTGAAATGTCAGGCGATCATCAGGCTTCAGGCAGAGCAGGTTTGCCATCAGCGTGTTTGCACAGGCTGGCAAGCGGCTGACGTCCACACCTGGAAACACCAGATTCATGCGTCGCCGGCTGCCACCTGTCCTCGCGGTGCCCATCAGGTTGGCTCGTACGAAGGACGAGAAGAACATATCGCGCTCGTGCGCCACCTTCCACAGGACTTTCTTCTTGTCGCTCATGACCTCGAATACAACTAGCCCTAACCGCCAGCTGTCCGACTGTGGGCTGGCTGGGTACCAGTCTGGCTCTGGCTCGGCTGCTGTGGATTCCTTCCAGCCATGTTCCCATGTCCTGGCGAAGATCTCAGGAGGGGAGTAGGCCGGTGTATCACCCTGGGTACAATGCCGATCTAGCTGCTGGCCAACAAACTTCGCCGAGCCAAAGTCAATAAGCTTTGCCATCCTTTTGCCATCCTTGCGGAACCCCACGCACACATTGCTGCACTTGACGTCAAAATGGATAATATGGAGGGAGTTGAGAAATTCCAAACCTTTTGCAACATCACGCAGAAGACGTAGACGTTCGTCAGCATCTACTGAATCAGACAGATCCGAAAGAGTGCCAGCTGGAAAGTACTCCATCTCAAATCCCACGTGATTCTTGCAGTCGTACCATATGGGAAGGCACGATGCTATCAGGTGATCGTCCGTGTTCCTAGACTGCCGCTTCTGGCAGCGCG